ACTTTAAGTAAAAATTTTGATGTAAATTCATCGCTATTAGCAGAATTTGCGGAGTTGGCAATGATAATGATTGAGGAGTTGGCAATAATAATGATTGAAAAAAGAAATGTAAAGCAAGTCGAACACGACTTTGACATTTAATACTCACCTTATCTTCTTTCATTTTAGTTAATTCATAAAATGCAAGTGGAGTATAATCTCTACCGACCATTCCACCCAGAGTAAATGTAATACCTTTATGAGCTTTGGAATTCCTAATAAATTAGATAGATGATACGTGTAAAAAATATTTATTCATCTTAAATAAATTTACTTTGCTTTCCAGGATACTAAAAAACTAGTATCCTAGAAAGCAGAGTAAATTTATTTAAGACGTTTGTCATAGACTGTACCCTATACGATGAAGAACGCTTAACACTGACGAGGGAACCTCTTGAGGTTATAAATCGCTTTTGAACTCGGACTACTTGTATCTTGTAGACCTCAGTGAGTAGTGAAATACCCTAAGTTGGTTCATCCCCATGGTGCTTTGTTGCTGAGATATTGAATTTTTAGTCAGTTTTTGCCTATAGAGCTTGGATTTCGAGCAAAATCCGACTTTTGAATTTTGACTTGAAACTTGCCACACTGGTAGTCCATGGTCATAGTAGTACGACGGGAGAAAATTCGGTCCTAATGAATTTTCCTGCCTTGAGATATTGCGACTTGAACATCTGACCTTCACCCTCACCTTCAGATGAAATATTCGAGTCTCAATATCTCAAGGCAGGAACATTCATTAGGACCGAATTTTTTCCCGTCGTACTACTATGACCATGGGCTACCGGTGTGGCAAGTTTCAGGTCAAAATTCGAAAGTCGGATTTTGCTCGAAATCCAAGCTTTATAGGCAAAAACTGACTAAAATTCAATATCTCAGCAACTGTAAATAAAGCAACTTCAGACCGCAAAAAGACTGTCTGAAGTCGATAGAGTAGGGTGGCGTAGGGTATGAAAGCGTACAAAGTAGGATAGCCTAGGGCACGAGACGTTTCTATATGGTAGAATGCAGGGTACAAAAAAAAAGAACTGCTCTGCAGATGAGTTGTCTGGAATCCCCGAAAAATAAGAGCTTCGGTCATTTTTTGGGTACATTCACAATCAAATGTTTTTGTGAACACCAAGATTTACAGAGAAAGCTGTTCTGGTCAAAATGAGATATAGTAACTCTGTGCGATCTCGCGTTAAAAAGTTACACATATTTTCCTAGAAGCCTCTAAATGTATCAAACCGTGCACGGCGTTTTCTATCAAAATTGTTTATTTCATTCACGACTGTTCGTATTTCCAAAATTTCAGAAAGATGTTTGAGAACTCTGATTGGATTTCCAATAAAGCTAACACGTGTGACGAAAGATGGATAGCGCCCGATCGTGAATATTTTTTGCTGTAGTTTTCAATAGAGAGAAGGATTTTTTAAAATCTCATCGACGGATGGTATAAATAATTTTTATAGGCGACACTATATGTAAACTAATTGAGGTTCCCCCCGGGTCAGAAATGACGATTTTCGTCAAAAATATCGATTTTGAGGGAAGTACATGAATAACGGGTGAGTCAGATTAAATTGTCGATTTTTCATACGCTGTTTTCTCAAGTTAGGCTCGATCAGAAAGTTTGGTTGTGGTGCCAAAAGATAGAGAATCTGATGCAGATTTTATTGATATATTCCTTTTTAAATAAGCGTGTATCGTTCTTTTGTACCATTAAAAGTGTTGGATGCCACAAAAATATCATTTGCTCAACTACAAAATCAGAAACGAGTAAAAATCAATTTTTCCACAGCTAGATTAAGCTCAAAAATTTCTTTGTTGTAGTACGAGATGTAGATTTTTCGATGTATCTTGCGGTTTGTTGGGTTTGATACGCTGAGTTACTTCTCCTTCGAAAACTATAAAACAACGAAAAGACGTCCAAGGACCACGGAATCCCAATTTCCTCTACCTTAGTCTTACAGCAATTATACTTTTTATATCAACAGATACATAATTCGAAGCTCTACAAAATGCTCTTATTCACAATTGTTGATCTCGTTTCTAACCAAATTACGAAGTTGAAATATTTTTGTTGGCATGAAAGTGCGGCAAAACTAGATAGTTAGATTTATTTTGTAAACGGTCTTCAATACAATAGAACTCTACTCAAAAATTCGGTTTTGCTTCTCAAAAACAAATATTTTTCTGTAATTTTTCATAGTTTGTTTGAATAACGTATAGAAAATTATTTGACAATTACAAATAACATTTTAATCCAGTCCAGTACTGAGTCCAGTACTGCTCTCTATTCAATAGTAGAGCAAAATGAAATACAAAATGCTCACTGGAGCAAGAAGCAATTGTCTCTATTTACTGCTCATGTAGGGGCAGAATCAGGAAATCATTCGATTGTCGTTGTCTCAGATAATCCATCACACAACAAGTACACCGTTTCGCAATGCTTACAACATGTTTTAACAATTTTACAATCCCTGCTTCCAGAATTACAAGAACTCGTTATATTCAGTGATGGTAGTGCAAGTCAGTTTAAGTCGCGCTATATGTTAAAACATTTGACAAAGTTAGCAAGAGATTACAGTGTTTTACTATGTTGGCACTTCTTCGCCACATCACATGGGAAAGGTGAGTACTGTGCGATAAAAGGCTAAAAGCCACTTCCCTGAAACGAATGTGCGAAGTGCAACTTGGAAATGCAAAGATAGAGGAAGAGGTGTCGCGAGGGGGCGAAGCTGGAGGGTGTATTCGATAACTACCTATGAACTTTCGTTCGAGCTACCTGGAAAACCGAAAGCGCGATCGATTTTCTCTTTTCTGAATGTTTGCAGGCGTCGTCGATGGCGTTGGCGGTACAGCAAAGCGATTGGTCTATGAAGATGTTATAGTTGGCAAAACATGTCGAAATGCAGCTGATTTTGTCCGTCTCTTGGAAGATAAAAATACTCCAATAATTCTCAGTGAATTATTACCTTCTGAGATCGACGATGCTGAAAATGAACTGAAACCGACCTTCGACAATGTTAAACCTGTTTCAGATATTCAAAAAGTGCACTCTATGACACTTTTCGATGTCGATGATATTGAATGTCGATACTACTCAAATAGTGATGATGCAAAAGAAATCCATTTTTAATTTACATTTATTTTCCTTCTTTGTTTTTCCTCAGGCGTGATTTGACAGTAATTTTCTACGTGATTTACGCGTGATAGCGTTGATAATTATAGAATCAGTAGAAATCGGCTAGACAGCATCATGTGTGCAATGGTTAAATTTGTTTCAAAATAAAAACATTTGATACGCGCAAACGTATGAAGGTTTTTCTCTGGAAGAACGGAAAAAGACGGAATTCCGTGACGACGGGTTTTTAGCCTTTTCATTCGACCAGACCATTATTTTCAAAATCCAAATACATGTTGGGAAAGCTCGTTCGAAATCGGTCAACTTTTATCCTGGGAGTTTCTTTGTAACTAGCTTCATTTCGTAGAGAAACGCAAAATTATAGATAGACCTAAAAAAAAGTTCCGTTTTTTGGAATTCCGTGACGGCCTGTATTTTCCTTTTATCTCCGCCCTGGACGGTTCAAACTCAATAAAATTTTTGGAGCACATAGAATTGGGTGATCTATATGTAGTGTGAAAGTTTCAGAAGGTTTGGATCATCCAAGGAAGAGTTATGCCATTCAAAAAGTTCCAAAAAAGGAATTCCGTGACATTTGGACAGGCCGTGTGGGGAATCTCATTCATTGTTTATAATCGTCTGCTCTTGAAAAAATTAAACTATACGTACTACTACTGCATGTGTTGTTTCGCACATTGAATCTTTGTATTCGATAATTATATCTGCGGTATCTGCAACATACAAGTCACCATGTCGATCAAATATGATACTGTACGGTGCATTCAGTTGATTCGCAGCTGCAATCAAAATGCCACTCGTAACTCCTAAACTCCATGTTACAACCCGACGGTTGGTTAAATCTCCTATATAAACAACACGGTTGCCGATATCGATCCAGACAAAGATTTAACTGATTCATCGCAGAACCCACTGGAAAATAAAACCAATAGAAAAAATTGATGATGGTATAAAAGATCGTTAGTATCATACAATCCATACTGTTTAAAACGTTGTTCTAGCAATGAAGATGATTTATTATTGGATCATTGTCCAAAAATGATGCATCCAACATTATTGACTGCATTCACTTCACGTTGATCTCGAGGCACAATTAATTTAGAAGTTTTTGCTGACAATGAAAATTATTATTGTGATCCGTTTGACTTAACAGGCACAAATTCCTCTCGTCTTTGGCCACTCAAAATACGAACTTTTCCTGATAGGTCATCATTGGCACCATATTCATGACAGCTAACAACAACAGTTTCCAAACTAAAACTGAAACTGGCACAATGAAAAGAAAGTTACTATAACAAGTGTTCTCAAAAATGTCGGCCATTCGGACACTCACCATTAAATGATTTATCCGTACTTACACTCAACGTATTGGGTATCAAGCCTATCTTAAAAACTATTCGACAGAGGTATAGATATGTAATCGTGGTGTCGCGGTTAGACGAAAATTACTGATAGAATGCCTGTGTCTCCTCATGTCTGCGGTCGATTTTGTCAGTATTACAGCGAGCGCATTACTATTGTACTTTACGTTGAAAATATGCCAACTCCAACCACAGTGAACCACTAATGGCTTTTCTATTATCGGATGGTACTATATCAGCTCAAAAAGAGTTTTATGTAACAATAAAACAATCAATGAAATATAAATTTTATTTTGTATATCCAAGACTGATACAACTGAACGGCTCATATTCCTTAAAATCTGAAATTTTTTCTCCATTTTAACTAATTGTCTATGGCACTACTCTATTGAATCACTTGTATTTCTATTGTCTTATCGCCTAGCAAAAGTTTTCGGATTTGACTTAGCGCTATTTGATGATACAGACGACTTTTACACATCTGTATTTTTGCAATTTTTTTGCCAGTTTTCGCTTTATTTCATATTGCTTTTAGTAAGCGTGTGTTCAAATACATGTAAGGAGCACTGTAAAGAGAAAAATGTTTGAATAAACTTTAATGTGAGTTCACAAAAAAGTAAGCGATTCTGATAAATTTTCTACCGGTTTTCTTCAAAAGACCTAAAATGAAAGTGATTAAAAGAGTATTTTAGTACTACAGACTGATAAAAGATACTCGATAGTCTACGAAAACCTATGTTTGCAAAATACCCAGTACTTTTTTCCTAATATTTGGAAATGATAAGTTTACGAAAACCAGCTTGAAAATATTTGGGATCGGTCCTCTAGAAACTAGAGTTTCTAGAAAACCCTTTTTGAAGTATAATTAAACTGAATAGACCATTCGATTTCTGATGTCAAGAAATCTATATTCTAAAACTCTGATGTAATTTGATCTATGTGTTCTAAGTTTCAGCTATGTTAAGTGGTGGGACAAAAAAATGGAGTGGGACATTTCACTGTATTCTTGAAAAAAATTGAACTCTTGGTGTTTATAGCATAAGTTGTGCTACTTAACCTACATATGAGGTAAAAATAAGTGAAGCTTTAATTTATTGCAGTTCGGTTAGGAGATAGGCAAAAGGGGTTTGGACAAATTGCGTGTCAAACTTCAGTAAACGGCAGTTTATATCTACTGATTGAAAACGAAAACCGAAAAAAACTTACGGTCTGATCAATCGATAGTGTCCACCTTTTTTTACACATTCTGATGTAAAAACTGTTAACTTAAAATACCTCACTAACTGCGTTCTAAGCTCAAAAGGGTGTGGACACTTTCTTTTGACGTTGCCGAGAACCACAAACCAAAATTCAATTTTTTTAGCAACTTCTGGCTGTTTTAACCGTTGTCCAGTTGGATATCTCGGCCTGTCCAGGAGTTACGGACTTACGCTTTTTTTTAGTCCGTAGCAATTTTTTCTGTAACGGAAGATGCTGTGAGGACCGTTCTTGCGTCAGCTGATAGAGCTCGGTGAGTTCTATTTGCAACCAACATATTGTGGGTTTCAGCCAAGTGACACGGTTTTTATACAAATAATATTGAGCGTTATGAACTTACAAAAAATAGAATTGAATGTAAAGCAGAGCAGAAACAGATAATAAGTTTAGCGAATAATGAGGTTCTTTCAAAAAATCTTTTCGTAGCAAATGTAGCTGAAAATTAAGCCTATATAAAGCAAAAAAACATTTGTCTCGAAAGTGTTTAGTCTGGCAGATACATCAAAAACAAAAACGTTACGGACTTACGTTTCGTTATGGACTTTTTACAGCTTTTTTTGGTTCTTTCAAATCAAAAGGTTAGACTCCATTACAAAAGTCGTCATAGATAAATATTTCCGATAGCAGTAGACAGTATCTGATCTGATCTTTCCGATGCACCGTAGAAAAACGTTTTGAATTCGTTTTGACTTGGAGAAAAACCCGTTTTAAAACTTGGTCTTTCGAAAAACCAACTTTCTTGGAAAGCACCTAAACTCAAAAATAAATACACTATCTTGTAGAGAATTTAATTCTCTACAAAATGACATATCTCTTAACTTTTTCGCGAAAATATCTAGGTCAGGAAATTAAAAATAAAATTTGGATTTCATTTTTTGGAGTCAGAATTTAATTTTTTGGAAATTTTAAGTTGATATTCGAAATCAGCTTCAAAAACTATGTTAAACGATGTGCTTTACAAATTCTTAAAGTTAGAAAAAAATTTTCAAACCATCTTAAGTGAAGGTGACCGTTAGCTGGACAGGCCGATCTACCAAAGTAGTGACGCTCAATTTTGGCAAAACTAGTTAACCAATCAGTCATCCTAGTCGTTGATAACAAAAGAAATGTGATCAATTTACACATAATATTGTTGACAAGCTCACTCAAAATAAAACCCTTGTGATAAGATAACATGCAGACTTTTTATGAAGAGAAATAATAGTGTCGATTAGCTTGTTATACTATTCATATATAATGCGTTCAAACGTCTCTTCCTTTGAACGGTGAAAACTTGAACTTTTTATCATGTTTTGTTCTAAAGTACTTTAAGAGAATATTCATGATTATTCTTTTATTAAACGGATAATCAATTAAATAAAACTATCATTTGTTTAAAATGTTTATGTAGCGCAACATTGTGTCCACAATTCTTCAAGTAAAAATTTTGATGTAAATTCATCGCTATTAGCAGAATTTGGCGGAGTTGGCAATGATATCAATATAATACTATTGTGCCATTCAGCATTTTTATCTCTGTTATAACAATGTTCAACTTCTTCCTGGAAATTTTTTGCTTGTTGAACAGGATGAAATTCTCCAAAGCTGAACTTTGAACGTAAATTTTCATATCGATTTTTCAAACCGTGAAAAGCAGCTGGCACTTCCATGGCAAATACAAATGTCTAATAATGATTGAAAAAAGAAATGTAAAGCAAGTCGAACACGACTTTGACATTTAATACTCACCTTATCTTCTTTCGTTTTAGTTAATTCATAAAATGCAAGTGGAGTATAATCTCTACCAACCATTCCACCCAGAGTAAATGTAATACCTTTATGAGCTTTGGAATTCCTATTAAATTAGATAGATGATACGTGTAAAAAATATTTATTCATCTTAAATAAATTTACTTTGCTTTCCACAATGCTAGTTTAAACTCTTCATTTTTAATCGAACAACATTTTGTTAAAAGTGCTCCAGATTCGGCTGTTGTCCATGGTAAAACAAATATCCATTTATCAATGAATATATGCTGTTTTTTATCAGATATATTTTCATTTTCTACTTCTAATTTAATCAATTTGACACGTTCAGTGTGATCTGAAATTAATAAAAGTGATTAATTTTAAACACATAATTGTTGTTTTTTATTGTTATTTTACACACCTTGTAACAATGCAATTAATTTTGCATAATTAAAATAAAATGCCACAGCTAAACCTTTCCCAATACTCGTATTTATCTAATAAAATAATAAAGATTTCTCAGCAATTCTTTAATTAGATTCATGCAATACATACAATATCTTTCTCTTTGAGTAATCCTTCGACACTTGGAAAAAATTCTGTGTAATAAGTATTGGACATAATATTTATGTCTAAAAAAAAGAAGAGAGATAACACATGAATATTGATCAGAGATGATCTGTAATCTCACTTTCTAAATAATACATTATTTGTGCAATATCATTTTCAGTTGGTTTGTTTTGTTTCGATAAATCAAACGTTATATAAGGAACATATTTCATTAATAACGATGAAATATCTGATATTCCACCATTAATGACAAGAAGTACATCACGAAAATTTTTATGCTGAAAAAATAAATAAGAATATACACAAGTTATGTTGTTACTCTTAATTCATTATAATTCAGAATTTTTACTTACAGTTTTTGATTTTCTTGTAGCGATACGTTTCATTAATTCGTCAGTCATTTTACTAACTGCATTGGATGTCTAAAGTAACCAAATAAAAAATCACTCGTCAGCCCCTCGTCATAGTCATCAACTAATAAATCAGAAGATGGCTCTAGTTCTTTTCAAAACATCAAACAAATTTTTTAATATCAATACTCTTTCTCGTTCACACTCTCATTCTCTGCCATAAGCAAAAACGATTTGATAGAGATGTATGATGGCAAAAAGTATGGAAAAAAACTTAGTTCTTAAGCACAAAGAATGTATGCAAAGTCGATGAAGCATGAATGGACGAATTTTCTTCTAGTAAGTCAACATTAATGTGTCAAGCTCGGATGATTGAAATGTGTTACACGGGTATCAATGATGGTACGTGGCACTTAATTACTAATTATTTAAATGAAATTAAAAATGATGGACCAGCAGACGTATAGGGAGTCCCCAGAGATTTTTAGGGTACTCCTCTAAAGAATCTTCACGGAAGTCAGTTACGGAGTCCCCGGGAAGTCCCTGGGGACTTTCTTGAGCAGTGTCCATTAGGGTACGAAGCATTTTTATAGGGTAGGGAAATAGTATTGATAAAAAACAGCATATATTCATTGATAAATGGATATTTGTTTTACCATGGACAACAGCCGAATCTGGAGCACTTTTAACAAAATGTTGTTCGATTCAAAATGAGGAGTTCAAACTAGTATCCTGGAAAGCAGAGTAAATTTATT